CCACTCACCTCAGCCTCCCAAGGCACAGGATTATAGGCTGAGCCACCGAGCCCGGCGTATGCCCCACATCTTTAAAATAGAAAATTTTTTTAATAAATAAAAAAATAAAAACATACACAGACTTGAACAGGCACTCCATGAGGAAGCTATCAGGATGGCCACATAGAAGATGCACACTAATAGGTACCAGGAAAATGTGAATCAAAGCCCCAGTGAGACACTGCTACATCCCCACCAGAACAGCTCAAAGGATGTCCTTTTTTTTGAGTTGTGGTCTCCTGTTACCCAGGCTGGAATACAGAGCCTCAACCTCCTGGGCTCAGGTGATCCTTCCACTTTAGCCTCCCAAGTAACTAGAACTACAGGTATGTGCCACTACCGCCAGCTAATTTTTCTTTTTTGAGTTGGAGTCTCACTCTGTTGCCCAGGCTGGAGTGCAGTGGCACGTTCACAGCCACCAAAGCCTCAACTTGCTAGGCTCAGGTGATCCTTCTGCCTCAGCCTTCCAAGTAGCTGGGACTACAGGCATGCACTATCACACCCAACTAATTTTTTTTTATTTATTGTAGAGATGAGGTCTCACCAAGTTGCCTAGGCTGGTTTTGAACCCATAGGCTCAGGCAGTCCTCTCACCTCGGCCTCCCAAAGTGCTAGGATTATAGGCGTGAGCACCGCACCCAGCTGGCTAATTTTTAAAATTTATTTATTGTAGAGATGAAGTCTCGCCAAGTTGCCCAGGCTGATCTTAAACCCCTGGGCTCAGGCAATCCTCTTGCCTCCATTTCCCAGTATTGGGATTACAGGTGTGAGCCACCACACCCAGCCTGAAAGGATGTCTCAATGAGTGCATAGAGCAACCAGAACCTTCTCACACTGCAGGAGGAAGTATAAACCAAGGCAGCTGTTTTGGATAACTGATTAGCAGGGACTACTAAGGTGAAAATATACAAACCCTGTGACCCAGCAATTCTGTTCTTAGATAAATACCCAGAAGAAACATATGCCGTGTCCACCAAAAGACCTGTATGAGGAAGTTCATAACAGCTCTATTCATAGTAACTTCAAGCTTAAAATAACCCAGATGCCCATTGACAAAAGAAGGCACACAGTCACATATATTCATACAATGGAATACCCCAAGGTAATGAATAAAATGAACTATTTTACCTGCACCAACATGGAAGAATCTCTCAGACACAAAAGGAGCCAGACACAAAAGATGATTCTATAGCCGGACACAGTGGCTCATGCCTGTAATCCTAGCACTTTGGGAGGCAGAGGCAAGAAGATTTCCTGAGCCTATGGGTTCAAGACCAGCCTGGGTAACTTGGCGAGATCTCATCTCTACAATAAATCAAAAAAATGACCCAAGTGTGGTGGCGCACACCTGTGGTTCCAGCTGTTTGGAAGGCTGAGACAGAAAGATCACTTAAGCCCAACAGGCCGAGGCTGCGGTGGCTGTGCATCTGCAGAGTGAGACTCTGATTCAAAGTAAAATAAAATATCTATGAAACTCAAAAAGAGGCAAAAGTACTCTAAAGTCAGCATAATGGCCAGGCATGGTGGCTCAGCCTATAATCCCAGCACTTTGGGAGGCCACGGTGAGAGGATTGCCTGAGCCCAGGGATTGAGACCAGCCTGAGCAATTTGGTGAGACCTTGTCTCTACAATAAAAAATTAAAAATTAAAAATTAAAAAAAAGCCAGGTGTGGAGCTTGCACTTATAGTTCCAGCTACTTGGAAGGCTGAAATGGAAGGATAGCCTGGGCCCAGCAGGTCAAGACCGCGGTAGCCATAAGCATGCCACTATACTCCAGCCTAAGCGATAAAGTGAGACTCCTACTCAAAAAAAAAAAAAAAAAAAAAA